ATTTTAGTAGATAATTGGATATATGAAAGTAATCTTTACTTTTAGATTGTTTGAAACTGAAATATTTTAATTATGTTAAGAGCAGTAACATGATTCCAAGAAAAGTCAAAGGGAACCAAAGGAACCCTTTCCAGGTTACATCCAGGACTATTTACATTGGCGTTAGCCCCTTGTGAAATATTATTTGCAGTGTAACAGCTGTTTAAAAGTTCCTCCACAGAGTTCAAGAAATATTAATTTATGTCCTCTGCTCTAACAAGTTCAATATTTACAGGAATTGGCTTAGTCCTCGTTCTTTTACTAAATCCCAAGCTGTTTTACAGGAATTAGCTGCTTGTGAGATAGAAGAGGCTAGGTAAACTTGTTTTTCATCTTTTACTTGTACTTTATAATCAGTTCTTAACCTCCTTAAATAAGGCATGAGAGAAGGACTACTTATTGACTTGTCACAAACTAGAATTACTTGATCTCTTAACTTAGACAACTCAAGATTGAACCAGTTAACAGGGTCTTAATTATGTAGTTTTGAGTGTTATCGGTTATCTTAGTTTTGAGAGGGACACTAGAGCCAAAAGCATACCTACTTAATGTTGTACAAAAATATGAAAATGCCATTCACGCTGGAAGGTAGTCCAGAGATTTATTCCACAAATTTAGATAGAATTTCAACAATCATGAAAGGCCTGAAAATTAGAGGGGCTAAGTAACCTAAAGCTAACCTTAAACCTACGTTTACCAGCTGACAGTTCCTCCTTCATAGAATCAAATTTAGGTCCGGTGAACGAACTTAGGATGACATATTGATGGTCTCTGCTAACCCAAGAACCATAGTTCCAGCAGTCAAAGTTGGTTAAAATACTTGATTTTTTTGCCGGGTTGATTCAGGTAATCAATAGGTTAATTTCTAACTGCTTTTGGTAACTTGGTAAATGAAACAAATTGTTGGCAAACATGCCTATGTGTTCTGTAAGAATTTCTTTAGAAGTTAATTAAAATATTACAGTTTATATTACAGCATAAATATCAATCCCACATTTTAATTAATATGGATTTTTGTATAGTATTAACAATTACCGTGCGCTATATACTGAGTTTCCCGTAAAGTAAACAGCCAAACTCCGGGAAATGGTTCTACGGGTGAACATAAATAGAAAGTGAAGAATAATTTCAACTCTTTCCGAAATCGATTTGTTAGCCAGATACCTGTTATTTTGTATTTTTCACATAAACATTTTTAATTTAAAAATTGTCAACCAATTATTATGACACTTGGTGTGTGTAAAGGTGGAAACGATCCATGCTAGAAAAAATTCCTGATCCAATTCAAAACTTCATTATGGAAGACAATAATTTTTTTTATTAAAATTTTAAAAAATTGCTGATTCTATAAAAAAAAAAAAACATTAAGGAATACTTTTATTTAATATTTTAAATTATATATCAAACAACGACAAGTTCAAAAATATCAAACAAAAGATAACTGAAATTTAACGATTTATCGTTTTAAAATAGGGTATAATAATAATAGGCTAAGGTTTGTCTCATTTTACAACCAAAAATCGTGATATTTCAGTTATTTCTTATTCAATGTTTTGAACTTGGTGTCATTTGATAGGAAATTGTAAATACTACATAAAAATACTTTTGAAATCTTTCATAAAATCAGCCATTTTTAGTCATGTAAATTAAAAAATTTAAATAGCCTTCATTTTTATATGATAAAATTTGATCAAGATAACTTTATTTTGTATGGGTCTCTTTTACCATGTTATCCTTGATTTTTCTCTTTATTTTGAGTGATAGAACCATTTACCAGAATTTTTGCTGTTTACTTAAGGGAGACCCTGTAAATAAAACACATGTTTTAGTGGATATGTCTGAAAATAATATAGTTACGGATCAAGGTTGAATTTGTTAGTTGCTATGAATTGTAATGCTTTAAAATTTATATGGACATTAACTTGTAACATCACTGTATTTAAAATTAATTATTAACTTTTATTGTTGAAGATAGTAGTTTTCTAAATTTTGTTTTGCTATAATAATCTAATATTGTACATCAAAACTTACCTCATTATGAATTTAACATTTTAACTAGAATGGAGATACAGGATCTGAATTTTAAAGAAAAATACAGGTTATCCAGAAGAGTTTAAATATTTCCACATAAAGAGCCACCATTTGGAAGGTAATAAAAAGTTTAATTCTGATTATTTCATAAAAATAGTTTATTTAAAAAGAGCATGTATTGTTGTTACTAATATTTATGGCTACGTATACTCCCTGCAGTACCTGGGCCCTTAAAGTGTGTACTGCATGGATGAGATTATTCTCGTCTCCTATTTGTTATATTTCTTCAATTCTTCGTTTTCGTCAGAGATCAAAACCTGAAACACTCGTTGCTACCAGACTTCGGGATGAAGACGTTTGGAAGTGCCTAGTTTTGTCCATGGAATAGATCAGAAGGCCGATATGGATAAGTCCCTCTAGTACTTGAAGTAAGGAGAAAAATTTCTTCTTAATCAGGAATGTATGGGCCAATGCTATTAATTATTTTATTTGTATAATTGATTAGTGTGTCTACAGTTGTCATACAATGTGGCATTTTACCCACTTAAATTAGTTAGCAAAGCAGCTGATTTACCTAAATTTTATTCTCTTCACTCTGATTGTTGACTGAATAAACAATTTTTATTTATTCTAAGTGTATTTTAATTGAATTATAACCTACAAAAGATTTCTCGTATGGATTGTATCTATTCTGACACAGTGGAATAAGTAGTTTAAAGATGAAACAGTTTTCGATTAATTTTAAACATTGTTATAACTCAATTAAAGTTTTTTCAAATGTCGATACTACTGAAGTCAGATTTTGTCGTTGTGACATAATATGACTGAACTCTATGTTTATTATGACAATGAACGATATGTTTTGTGTACACTAAACAGAAGTCCTGTATAAAGTGGTCAGTCAATTTTCGGGATGAGCTATTAAGTGTTAAATGTTTTTTTTTGTTTTTTTAATAAATTCATTCTTCACTTTTATAAGAACAGAAGACCCAATATCATGTATATTTTTCATATTGATAATTCCATATCTTTCAAATTCGAGTTAACATTTTATCTTCATTGAAATATTGCTGCTCTGCTTACTAGTTGCACAAACAACTATTACAATTTTTTCTGACACACCTACACTTCATAAGGTCGTTTGTGGTGTAAGTTTAGATGTATTCCGAAATGTTGGAAGATATATTCTTTATATCCAAGTAACATAGAGTTGAGTTAGTTTAATGGTCTGACCATTTAAACATATCATAAATTACTACATTTAACCTTATAAGGCTAGTAAAGTTAGAGTTGGGGTAGCAGCCCTTCCAAGAATGAGGGGGATGTTAATATTTACAAGCCCCACACTATCATAAACAAATGATTATAAGGAACATTTTCTTCTAAAAATATTTGTGGTTCTACGTATTCAAAATTCAAAATCATAGCTGTAAATCTTGTTATAGTACCTAACCATAGAATGAATAATTTGTATCGCATCACAAAAAAGTTGATTTTACAGTATGATTACCTGAAGTATTTTGTAATTGACATAATGCTCAAAGCGTATTGTATATTTAAATAAATTCGTCTTGTTTTTGAGTATAGAATGTGTTTTCTCATCAACCCAAACCCTAGGATTGTCTTTTTCACATGGCAAAAACTTAACTTAACCCCAACTGGCCTTGGAATATACCATCCTTTTTGTAGTTGTATTGTTGATTTGATGAATTGACTGTTCTTGGTCAATAACTAATGTGTATTATAGCTAACTGCTGAATATTCTCATTATTCTAAATTAATTTAAATTATAAATGTAATTGTAGGAATGCATTAAAAGTCCTTACTACTTTTTATTTGAATTTTTATTACGTTTTCTAATTTTTCTAATTTTTATTACATTTTTCATTTTTTAAATTTTTATTACATTTTTTCATTTTATAATTTTTATTACATTTTCTCATTTTTTTATTTTTTTTTACTTTTTTAAATTTTTTAAATACATACTACTTAAGGCAAACTAATAAAAATTACCGAAATATTTATAATAACACACAACATGTCTAACAGAATTTCACATCTTCCAGTACAGTTTTATTTACGTCAATTGAATTTCGCCAATAATGGTATATGTATAAAGAAGGTGTCAAAGGTATTTTTACATAACACAATAAATTCACTGCTGATTTGACTCTCAAACATTTACAACTTAACAGAAAAAGTATCCTAAAGTAATATAAAGTAAGTTTTGTCCACCTTGTGATCCGTCAATACAAGTATATAAAACGTAGAAACTAAACGAAGCAACCAGGAGCTATGTTGATCAAACGTGTTGGTTATTAATATTTGATCTGTTGGCTAATTATTACTCAAACCCATGTCACTCGTAATCCTTGGATTGTAATTACTTTCATTTGTAGAGGTCTTTGGCAAATTGGGGATTTTCTGTATTGTGCGAGTTTGTTGATTTAAATGTAAAGTGATTAATTTACGTGGGTAGTTCGTATGGAGACAGTTCCAAAAATTCAGAGAATCGCTTAGACCTGTGTAAAATCTGTATTTTTTTATTCAAAAGTGTCCGAAATTAAGGATGTGATTTACTCATAAAGAGTTGGTTTCGGCGTTACTTAAGGATTACTTGTCAACGTAAACCGATACTTTGTTGTGCTTACGTTATTCAGAATATTGTCTTTCTTTTTTAAATCTTTTACTGGAGTTCCTCTAAAGCTTATACATGGTATTTGATGGACTGAAATCCATCCAAACTGATTCGGTTAGTGTAAAATCTATAATAGTAATAATAAAAGTTTAAGAACACAAAAGCCAAATAAGTTTGGTAATGTTGCCGAAAAAATACTTGGAAACCGCATGATCATTAAAACTATTTAACAAAATGAATTTCAAACAGTTTGGGACCATCAACAATATTTACGTATTAGTTGAGTTTTTTTTAGAGATTTACCCTAATTTTGACAAATGTTCTATTTATGATAAAACTTGAACCAAATTAAATAAACATATCGCTATATTTGGCATTGACTTTGGTCGCAATTTAAATCTCCCACTATTCATTAATTCTTGGGTAAACGTATCAACAAGCAGGTACTTTAATAATTTTGTATGAATAAAACCTACGTGGTTAAAACCAACCTTTGAAATAATCTGACTTCATGTTCTTGTTATAGCCTCCTGATTACCAATTAAATGTAAATAACTTTATGAGCCTTATTCTTATTTTCGTGATTACAAGAATGAATTATTGATAATATTTATATATAAGACACTATTTTACGTGTAGTAAACCAAAAAGATAACCTTTGTCACAGAATAGCATTTAAACTTAATATATATATATGGGTACATACAAACCCCTCTGGAAAATACGATTATTCGTTGTAAAAAATTGATAAAATAAAATAACAATTCATTGTCGTAAAATACTAACTGTAATTTCTAAGATTACTATTTAGGAATAAGTAAAAAGGAAAACGACAGCCTAATCACAAAATGCAAAAGATTATTATTTTTTTAATTCTTGGTCGATCTCCCAGAGGGGTTGGATTACTATTTTAAATCCTTTTAAATCTAAGTATAGGTTATTTACTATTTTAATAGAACTGCCTCTACTAAGTTTGCTTTACTGCACTACTATATATACTACTATATAGTTCACTACTAAGCTATATGCTAAACTAATAAGCTACATACTATACTACTAAGCAATTCATTTGGCAAATGTTGAATACGGTACTTTAGCAGAGGCAGATTTCTCGAAGGGACATTTAGAAAGTGTCCTCAAAGTAAAAACTCTCAAAGTCTTCGTCAGTTTCATCTTCTACGACAAAGGTGGCAGCGTTCTGATTTTCAGGGATGACATGACTCACTGTTACGTTTTTATCAAAATGGGGTCCAATGTTATCCACAAGGCGGAGTCCATTCTTGTTGGTGTTTTCTTCAGAAGTCGCATTTAAACCAGAAGAGTTGGCAGTCGTATCAATCACGGCATTATTCTCACTTTCCATCATAATGCGATCTTCTTCTACATAATCAAAATCTAGAAATTCTTGGCGAGGATACTTATCATAAAGACCCAGACTTCCATTGACATTGACAAAAACTGAGCTGGCATTGGTAGGGCTCCCCTCATCCGAAGAGTCACTTGAGGCATTGAAAGAGGAGTTGACGGGTGGCCGGTGATGGATCATCCTGAAATTAAGATATGCGTTATTAAATCAAGGATATTGGCTTGAATAAGATTTTTTACTTTGAAATAATAAGGCAGGCCTGTGAAAACTTTGGCTTGCCTATTACAGTACACTACTGCTTTTGTTCTGTGTAAATCTAGTTTCAGTGTGAAAAACCGATGGAGGTTAACGCAAACCACTATTTTAGTAATAATACAAAGGAAATAAAACTATATAACAATAAGACTTCTACTACCAACAAATGTTCGTGATTGTTTTCCAAACGTGACTTAAAAAATTAACGATAAAATGACGTATCTACAGTGAAGAATCTACAGTATGCACAGCTGAACAAACCTATTTTGCTTATTCACACTTAAAAGACATAGTTATGAAAATTCTTGGACGTAGAAGTATTAATTGTTAACTAGCTTGGTTATAGTTTAATTTCTTTCACATTGTAACTAGCTATACACTGGGCATGCTATGCAGTAAACGTAGTGCAATAGTGAATCAGAAAATGATATAGAAATAGAATAGAGAATGAATAGAAAAGTATCCTATGGCTGTGGCTAAAAAACCAACTGAAAGGCCTACTATTCACATTCAAACCTTTAAGTTAGTCAGCATACCTTACTGAATCTTTGAAAACGAACTCTAAAAAAATCTGAAGCTAGTAGTTCGCCCTAAAGACAATTTTCTTGTTAGTCGTCATTCGTCAATATGCTAGATAATAAGCTTTACCCTGACACATAAGTTGTTAAAATCTGTTGAATATGGTGGGTGATAAAAGGTATGCAACCAGGAAACCCCTTATCGTATTAAGTAAGCAGATAGATAATTCAAATTCGTATAAATATTAGGATTTACAGAACAGTTCAAGTTTCGTAAGAAAATAATTTGAGTAATATTATTTGTTATAGTATTTCGTTTAAACAGAGTGCAGGGGTAGGTTTTAGCTCAAAATTTTTACAGGTCTTGACAAAACTAAACAGTTAACATAAAGAAAACAAAACTCGGCACACTAAAAGCAAAATGGCATCATAACGTTTTAACTATTTGAGATATCAATTTGCGGCAAAATTCTTAGATTTTAGGTGCTTCAATAATGATGGTTAATTTATACAATTTTCTCTAAAGAAAACCTAAAGGTCGCTAAAGGTTTTGAAAGGGAAGTATAGTCAACATTGATATAATTTTACAGGTCTTGATGCTAAACAATTGACATAGAGAAAATAGAAATAAGACAACTACTAACAAAATGGCAGCTAAAAATGTTTAAAACGCTGGTTATTAAACGTAATTTTTAGCTGTCATTTTGTTAATAGTGGTCTGATTTATATTTTATTTATGTCGATTGTTTGTTTCGTCAAGACCTGTAAAATTATATGAATGTCAAATATACATCGCTTTAAATATTTTGATCTACCTACTAGTTACTCTCACTATCTATTAGGGCTAAAATTTTAAAATTATCCGCAAGTTTGCCGCAAACCGATTTCTAATATCTCAAATGGTTAAGTTAAGGGGGTGCAAGTTACTTTATTGTATATTAAACACTGAGATAGTTGTGTTAAGAAGTTTTGAATAATTTATATTAGACAATAATAATAAAAGGCTACAGAATAGTGTTTGAAGTCATAGACTTCGGGGAGTAGAACCTGTCCCCTTCGTTTTGTGGATGGAATTAGATATTTAAAGCAACCCCAAATTCTACCTGAAAGACCCCAGATCAGTTTGGATGATCCAGAACTACCCTCTGACCGCGGATCAGTTCGTAGGTGGTTAGGGGAAATAGGAACGAGAGTGAATTTAGGTCTACAGGTCGACACTTCAAGTGTCTGTTCATATATTCACATGTTTGACAATGCATTATTCTACTAACAATTACATCGTTAACATTATTCACGAGATAATTTATTAGTAAATATTTTTTTTTTATGTTGTATGATTTACATTTATTGCTACTCAGCACACTACAGCAACACTATTTAAATTCGTGTTTAAAAATCCATTTACTTACAGGAATAATACGAACGAGACTTAGGAATTGGTTAGATAATTTAAAGATATTTTTCATTCAAAATTCCATAATTAGTGTAGTATATTAAAGTATATCGGTCCTCATGAGACAAGTATAAGGACCATACATTCAGCATGCTGATAGTGGTAAAGTTAATAGCTGGCAACTTTCAGGATTTGTGCTTATTGTCTAATTTTACTGCATATAACGGACCCTTGTTTGTTAAAAAAAGCACCAGGGAAAATTAAAGTAGTGTAAGGCTTTGCCCAAGGAGAGTAAAGTAAGGTCTTGATGAAATACATTTCAGCTAAACATGGTGAAATAAAATTGATTATTTTCACATGGGAGGTGGGATATGTGGTTTTGGACTCTATGGTATCTGCTTTTATTAATGTGATTTTAAAATACAAATAGTTCACAGTAATTACTAATTTTCCGGGCTTATACTTATTACATGAAATCTGTGTGATGTATGAGTTCTGTAATCCAAAAACCACGTTGACATCCCACCTGTAACCGTTGATCACTAAAATTCCATTAAACAAAATGTGCATTGTATGAAAGTGGTGTTGTGCAGTTAAATTAAGGCTGGCTATTACTTACGGCTCATAACACTCATAATAGGTGCTGTTCTTGGCCATTGCTGAAACAAATCATATTAGTTAATTTCTATATCGTGAAAGGGTAAAAATATGGAGAGGTAAGGGATTTTTAAAGATGAGCAGTAAATAGATTTATTATTAAAAACCTGACAGGTTAGGTAAAACTCCCACGAAAATTAATTCACCTCATTCTGAACCAAATATAAAAATGGGAAATTTCTAAATGAAAAATGCATACTCAAGAGGTATGTAGGCTACATATCCATGCCGCAGCAAACCTGCAGGCCAAGCGAATTGCCATTCTCATTGGATTTTCACTTTAATATTTCCCAAAACATGTCTAATTTATTCCCTATATCAGTAACATTAGGTTTCACAAGTGTTTCGGCTTAGTGCTACAGAGAAGGTAATAAAGGATATTTTCCCCTTTTTTATGTTAGTAGTCTAGTTTTATTGACCAAGTTTTATCAAAATATACCCATTAACAAACAAACGATAACAGTTTACGTACTCATCCTCCTTAACTAACTGTACCAAAACAATTCAAGATACAAATGTTTTAAGCTCTACAAAATGGCTGGAAAAGAAATTGGGAAATTCTATGTTCAAAGGGCGAAAATGAGACAGCTAATTTCTTACTCCATTTAAAACCGTTCTCATATCCAAAACATGTTGGTAGGTAAACTCTTTCGAATAAAGGAAGATTTACACGTTTGTAGCAAATTTCATCAAAATCGGTTCTTGAGTTTCATCAAGTACTCGAACCAACAGGAATGAGTTCATTTTGTGTTCCTGCTTAAAAATATTATGTATCATGATTGTATTGTTATCATAATTTATAAGTATTGTTTTCATCAAAATTTTCATGTTTGATTTTTTGGTGGAAATATTAGTTTTGAGCCCCCCATGATCCCAAAAAAAGAGGTTTTCGAAGTGATGCCTGTTTGTGTGTTTGTGGATGTGTAGAGAGATACAGACAATTACACACCTGTGGTCCGATTTTGATAATATTTGGTAAGTATTAATTATTTGGTAAGTATTATTTGGTAAGTGGTGGAGATATCCAGGTGTTCTTTTTTCAATTTATATTTTTACGGTGATTTTCCCATAAGATCCGTAAAACAAACAAAAAATCTTATTCAAAATAGTATTTAGTAAAAATTGTGTACGTTATAGCCCTTTTTACATAAAACATAAAAAAAATATATTCTATCGTTTTAAAAATGGCCGCCACTTTCCCAAATTTGGAAATAGGAAAAGTGTATTGTATACCTTGATTTTATATTGTAAGACCGACCCATGCTTAAATTAAATTTATGTTAATCCAACTCAAAATTTCAAAAATAATATTTAATTTATTTTTTATCTGTTTTAACTTGGTGTCGTTTTATTGATGATTGTAAATGCTAAATAACAGTTTTCTTGAATTTTTCATTAAATATGCCATTAAATGAAAAATATTAAATGAACACGAATTTAAAAATTATGCATTGGATCAAGATAAATTTGTTAGGCTATACATGTGTCTCTTCTTTCTTAACATACATACCAAGTCTCATATATATCGGTTGAAGAAAATCAAAGATTGAAATCGTTATGTAAAAATACAAAACGGCGGATATCTGGTTAATGAAGCGATTTTGGAAAAAGTATTATTCTTGATTTTCTATTTATTTTGACCCTATGAAACACGACGTAAATTATGCCTCCCACCTTGTGTATGAACCCTGAGTGTATGTTTAACTACTCGTGTATCTTCTGAAGACGACAAAACAACTTCGTGCTTTTGTAATTTATTTCAAAGAATACTGTACTCCAAACTTATTTCATGCGATATTATTATCAAACTCAAAAAGATCGTTTATACCTTATTATTACTATTGACATTATTTATAGATTATTTATAGCTGTACCATTTTTTTGTCTGAAAGTACAAAAATACGTCAAATAACACTTGTAATAAATATATCTACATTTATACTGTTTACTCAGAATACGGTAAATACGGTACATAAAAAAGTCGATATAAGTCTAATCGAAATCGATCACCACTTACTATATTTTATATGTATGTATACCGTCTTTTGGGTAAACAGTATAAGTGTAAATATTTTATTACAAGTGCTATTTGACGTATTTTTGTACTTTTAGGTATTTAATAACGTAGGATTCTGATCAAGAAGCTATCATATTTTTTTACAAATGAACTAGTCTCTCGCAGCTTGCCAATATACAAATTCCATTTCTCTCACCATTTCTGATACTGTGATAGTTAGTTTAGTTAATGTGATATTAGATTTTACAAATTACCCTACCAGTATGGCTGGGTTAAAATGTTGTCATTTTGACAGATATCAGTAATTGACAGCAGCACACTCTGTCGGTGGCTCCATTCAACTAAGTCCAATTTCTCTCAACTGTCGAAAACTTGATCATAGGATTGGGAGGTTTACTTCTGTCAAGATACCAATACTATTTACCATGATGAGATAATAGTAGAACTTTAACATTCAGAAGAATTACATATGATAAAATTACACAAAAATACAAGCTACATTTATATCTCCTAAAAGGGATAGTTGATCTATGTATCCATCTTCCTTTTTTTTTAGTATAATATAAAATAGGCAGGTTGATTCGTGACTCTGATTAAATACGACTCATAAGTCGTATTTCGAGTCCGATCATTTCTCGCTGACATAGTCACAATGGGTTTAAATTTCAGTTTTCATTTTCGATATGTTAGTTAGTCTTAGTATGTTGACTTGGCTCGAACATGTTGACTTGGAATGAACATTTTAAATTTGGCTCAGTAAAGTAGTTATTGAGTTATTGAAATTATTGCGAAAATTAATATCATTGAGTTTTTTTTTTTTTTACTTTTTTTCTGTAAAATGGATATCCTTTTTATGATAACAGAGAGTATTTTAAGATATACTTATTATTTCATGCTTTTAACAGGTGGTACTGTGCGTGTATTATGTTACCAGAACAAACATTGAGCAACTTTTTGTTTTTAAAATGATTGAAATTATCCCTTCAACACAATATGAATCACTTATAGAACAAATTTAAATTCTTCATAAAATCTCGCAGAAACATCCTATTTTCGATTAAGGTTTGAGTGGTTTTAAAAATAATCCTAAGTTTATAAAATACATATATCTCTTCTATATAAGAGGGGGGGGGGAGAATGTCCACATCAATACGTTGGTAAACTATACTTTTACTATGCAGCAGTTATAAGGTGAAAAATAAGTTATCGGGTTTTAAGAATATTTTTTTGCTGGTTTTAAGTTAAAGGGATTGTATGAACACACTATTTGGAGAGTGGTACATCAACAATACAAAACAAACCCTTTTAAAAGAAATAATGTTAAGAAATAATGACGTTGATTTAAACATTGCTATCAAAATTACCGTTATCTTATCCCTTTGCTGATGTACACGTATAATTGTTTTAAAACATTGGTAACTGATCACGATGCAATTCTAAGCTGACTCAGTAAACAGATAAGAGATGTGACGTCGACCAACAAATGTTTATATCAGCATTTTACAAGTGAGTCCGGATTATAAATACTTTAGTTATCACCATATTGTAAAATCAAATTAAGGGTTTATGCTTTAGGATGTCTTATCAACGACGTTATACAGTGTGTAAATTAAGTATGGAGACAATTCTGTATTTAAAAAACCGAAATAGGTAAGATAGAAATATTCTGCAAATTACATAATTTGTTAACAGAGGTTCCGCGTTATTTAGATAAAAATATATGTTAACCTCCCTAACAGGATAGGGGGTGCCTTTTTTTAAAAAAAAGCTACCCTTGTTGAGTGACTCTTCATTTTGAAGGGTTTGTCTAAAGAAACACAATGACGCAAACCCGAGGTAGATATCTCACCCCTATCCAAAATGGTAGGTACTGTATTCCAAAATTTGATTTAGGGTATGTGAAAAAGCGCCAATTTCACAAATGGAAACACGTCTGCATATTTTTGATCGAAATAGATAGAAATATTCTGTTTATGGCCTTGATTGTTAACAAAAGTTCCGGGCTTTTACATTTAAAATATGTTTTAACCCCCCTAACAGGGTATGGGTAGGGGATGATTTATTTTTCCAAATAGCAACCCCTATTGAGTGACGCCTTATTTTTACGGGGGTTCTTTTTTAAAGAAATACAGTGAGGAGTGAGCTATCTACTTCGGGCTTGTGCCATTGTATTTCTTTATGTATACCCTTCAAAATGAGGGGTCGCTCAAAAAGGGTTGCTATTTGAAAGTTGCCACGCCCTGCCCACACCCATCCTGTTAGGGGAGTTAAAATATTTTTGATGTAAAATATCCCTGAACTTTGTTAACAAACAATGCCAAAAACAGAATATTTCGGTAAAAAAAACTTGTTTCCACATTTGTGAAATTGGAGCTTTTAACATTCCCTAATCAAATTTTTTAATACCTGCCATGTTGGCTAGGGATTAGATATCAACCTCGGGTTGGTGTCGCTGTATTTCTTTGTACAAGCCCTTCAAAATGAGGGGTCATTCGATAGGGGTAGCTATTTGAAAAAGGTTCACCACCTGCCCCTACCCACCATGTTAGGGGGGTTGAAAATATTTTAGATGTAAAATATTTTGGAACCTTTGTTAAAAATCAATGCCACAAACAGAATATCTCTATCTAATTTGGTTTAAAAACATACAGATTAGTTTCCACACTTAATTTACACACTGACAACTAATATACTTTTGCACGCAGTTCTGAAACACATCTGGCTAACCCCCTGAAGTCATGCTCGCAGTTCAAGAACACATCTGGCTAACCTCCTATAGTCGTGCACACAGTTCTGGACTGTATCTGGCTAACCCCCTAAAGTCATGATGGCAGTTGTGGAACGTATCTGGCTAACCCCCTGAAGTCATTCTGACAGTTCTGGAACTTATTTGGCTAACCCCCTGCAGCCGTGCACGCAGTTCTGGAACGTATCTGGCTAACCCCCTGAAGTCATGCTCGCAGTTCAAGAACACATCTGGCTATCCT